TCATTTGTTTGAGTCACTATATTTGCAATTATGTTTAATAAGGGGTTCGGTTTAGTTATTTGTACGATTTTGGGGTGCTGAGCCCAAACGCGTCACCCAAATCAAAAAACTTTTATACACTTGTAGACAAGAGTCTACGCTTTATTTGCTCTTTTTCGGCAACGCAGAAAGGTGAATTCTACTTAGTGAGGGTTACAATAAATTTGCGAAAAATCTACACCTCCTCCCCCTCCGCCACCTACCACCACAAAATCGTTGCACAAATAACTTAACACTTCCCCACAATAAGTGTACAACTACCTTTTCTACTATTTCCTTGAAAACATCCGCGACACATTCATCTCCTTTTGCAGATGCTTCCAGGAATAGAGCTCTATGTTTGCGCGCAAATTTGAGTCCCTCTTCCCGACTAATGATTCGCTCTCTGTCGATTTTATTCCCAACTACAATAGTGGCAATGTTAGGATTATCACTATAGTTTTCAAGCTCCGCAAGCCAAGTCTCCAACTTAGCCAAGGATTCACGGTTCGTGACGTCATAAACTAACACAGCTCCCAAAGCCTGCAANGTAAAAAAAAAAAAAAACAAAAATAATTTTTTATTATGTACCAAATTTCACGAGACAAAATTTTAACTAATATAAGATTTTATGTTATAAAACCTTTCTATAAAAGCTTGGAGTAAGACTCCGAAACCGTTCGGCACCAGCAGTATCCCAGAGAGCCAACTTATATTCAAGCCCATCAATATTCACCACTTTGCTCTTGAAATCCATTCCAATAGTAACATCGTAGTTATCGTCAAATTTATCGTGTACGAATCGACGGATGAGGCTGAAGATAAAATTTAGCGAGTAATTTACATGCCAACAAGTAATGTAAAATTCTTTTTGCGACATCATCCGTTTCAGTTAATCGTCGTAAAACCGCGTATCGTCATTCTGCAAAACCGCGTAACTGACATTGGCTGCCAAAAATTGGATTTGCTCACACAAGCTCTTGGCTCAATCCTTATCCATTCGTCCTGAAATATACCCACCAGAAATGCGATTGCTTTATAAAAACAGAGAACCATTTTGAAATATGAGTGTTTTTAAGCTCTGGAAAATAATTTCTACATTACATACGCAGTTTTGCATTTTGCTGATACGCGGGTTTGCATTTTGTTGATACGCGGTTTTGCACTTTAAACGGTGTAATAATTTTGCCAGATTTCCTACCTTGATTTTCCAACACCGCTTTCGCCAATTATCAAGAGTTTTATTGTTGTATCATTCATGTCAACTATATAATTCAAAGATTCTATATTATATCAAAACAAAATAATATATTTATCAACCACAGTATATGGGCTCTGTCACGTCAGTAATTACCCCGATATTTGGATCGCGATCCATATTGATGGATTGATGGATCGCGCACGAATGCTACATGTTCAATATTTATCGCGTCAATATTGATATAAATTTTTGTGCTGAAAGCTTATTATAACGCAAGAAAATATTTTTATTTTGTACGTATAATTTACAGAATGTAAATGTACAATGTAAATTAAAATTTGTTTTGCAAGATTTTAAGCCCCGAGAGCGAAGGCAGAGCCGATGTTCGCATTATGAGAGTAAAAGATGTACTGACGAAATGTATGGATCGCGTTTTGAAAGTGCTACACGTTCAATATTTATTGATGGTATTGCGATCCGCGATCCAGATTTCAAAATTTTTGGAAATTTTGCGATATGGATCACGATCCATCAATACTGCATGCTACACCGTCAATAAATATCGAGATACTAGGATCACGTCAATAAATAATGACCGTGTGACAGTGCCCTATACCTCCGTATATCCAGTAAACAAACTTACCGGCCGTCTTCACGTGCTGGCAAATCTCGCTCGCATGACGACGCATGCGAGAAACCGCACGTGTAGACAGCGTTGCCAGGTTGACGTTTTTAACGTCATTTGGACGTTTTTTGTATCCTGTTGACGTTTTTGTGTTAAAAATGACGTTTTTTAACTTCCCAGTAATTTTTCTCTGTTACTAAATCTTGTAAGTAGAACTGATTTTGAATTATTTTCTTAATAAATCTTTACAAGCTTGTGTTTTGCTACGACAGCTGCTTCAAAATATATTTATTCTTTGGACACAGATGACTTAAATATGATGCAAACGAAGCGTACGCGCATTTCTTTTGGATTCTTGGACTAAGGATCCCGTGTTCAAAGGCTGGTTGTGTAACACTTGAGGTTACGAGGCTTATTGAAATGTTTGCTATTGCACATTAACAGGTCTATTCTGCACGTTACCGAAGATTTTGTAACCGGAAAATTGTATTACCAAAAAATGTTCCCAGTTCTTGTCACCGCGATTCTAGGTACGTTGGTAATGCAGTTAAAATATTCAGCAATTCAGCTATGAAGAATTGTGAAAATCCTGGCATTGCATATTTCACGGGGCAATAATTTGTTACCAGCTTATGAGATGGTAACAAAATTTACCGGTTACAAGATTACACAGAATGCGAAAAGGGTTTAAAAATTTACAGGAACTTTATTTACCGGTTACAAACTTTTTATTACCAGCGCAGAATAGACCTGTTAAAGCCAAATCAGGAAGAGCCGATCTATTGCAACACGCACGCTCACAAAAACATAAAAAAAGCTGCGAAGCATAAAAAGTCAGAAAAAAGTAGGCGACTTTTTTAGGACTTCATTGAAAATGGAATGAACGCAAAAACGGCTGAAATATTGCTATGCTCCTTCTTAGCAGAACGTAATTTACCATTTTCGACAACCGACCCCCTAACCAAATGTATACAAGAAAAAAAAATTATTGAAAATCAACGCGATTATTTAACGCCTTTGAACTTGCACATTATTGCCCTGAAATTTAATGGGCTATCACTGCATACCAAAAAAAAATCTAAAAAATCTGAATAAAAAGTTGAAAATCTAGCTGAAACTTTCCCGATTTTTTATAATTTTTGCACAAAGTTTGAAATGTGGATTTATATTTTATATATATAATGAGCTTGGTTTTTATGGAAAAATAATATACAAAAGAGAAACAGCCAAAATCGATCAAAATGTTGATGACTTAATCAGCTGATCACAAGTGTATGTATAAAATGATTTTTATATTAACGATCTCAAACCAGTTTACAATGAATTTTAAATGTGCTTTGTGGAAATGACATTTTAATATACCTTACGTACATATATACCTTTGTATACAATAAAAGTTTAATAAGAACAACTTTTGGTATATTCATTTGAAAAAGACGTTTTTGGGTAGGAAATGACGTTTTCTCAGACCAAGAGGGACATTTTCTCATGCCGAAGACCTGGCAACACTGCGTGTAGACCGCAAAAAGTACGAAGCATGCTTTTTCTCGCATACCGATCGGTATGCGAGCTCTCGCTTGCTTTCAACTGTCATTTTTGTTGTTGGACAGCTATGTTCTCATTTCGCAGAATTCTTCAGAGTAGCAACATCGTTTATTTTGAGGCAAATACAAATTTAGAGGCAGCCATTTTTCATTTGAAAATAGTATACATCTCTTTATGCAGATTTTCTAATTTTCTCAAACTTTTAAGAGCCTGCAAGGCTTGAACCTTCTTGTTTGGCGACATTTTACAAATGAAAAAGTATGCTGTCAAATGCGTAGTCAACAAAACTCTATCTCGCTTGCGAGAGAAAAAAGCAGAACGCAAGCGAGATTTTCAAGCATGTGAAAACGGCCGGTTAGCTATTTTTTTTCACCAAATTTGGTCCCAATCATGAACCAAGAATGATAGAATACAAGATTGCGCCGTCCTGGGCGTTGACATTTGTGTACCACAAGTAAACAAAGAATAGAGCGAAAAGAAGAACGAGTTGAAACTGCCGAAGCAGTTCACTTTACAGCGAAAATCGTGTTTTAATTTTGCTAAAGCAGTGTTTGCATTATTCAACTTTGCGTTCAACAATTGCGTTCAACTCAACGCAGGGTTGCACGAAAAAAAAGTTGAATGGCTAAATGTTGGCTGGCGACCAACTTTGTTGAAAGCGATTAGTTGAAAGGCCATTCAACCAAAAGTCGAATGCAAAGTTGAACAATGCAAACACCTTTTTATGGCGAATATTTTGATATTTTTAGCCATTCAACTTTTTTTTCGTGCAACCCTGCGCTGAGTTGAACGCAAATGTTGAACGCAAAGACACACTTTAAATGTGAAAATATTGCATTTTTCACCTAATCTATTAAGGAACAGTGAACATTTTAGTGCACTCCATTGCTTTGCAATTGAGGCTGCTTCAGCAAACGTTTTAGTGCANATTTTCTCATGCCGAAGACCTGGCAACACTGCGTGTAGACCGCAAAAAGTACGAAGCATGCTTTTTCTCGCATACCGATCGGTATGCGAGCTCTCGCTTGCTTTCAACTGTCATTTTTGTTGTTGGACAGCTATGTTCTCATTTCGCAGAATTCTTCAGAGTAGCAACATCGTTTATTTTGAGGCAAATACAAATTTAGAGGCAGCCATTTTTCATTTGAAAATAGTATACATCTCTTTATGCAGATTTTCTAATTTTCTCAAACTTTTAAGAGCCTGCAAGGCTTGAACCTTCTTGTTTGGCGACATTTTACAAATGAAAAAGTATGCTGTCAAATGCGTAGTCAACAAAACTCTATCTCGCTTGCGAGAGAAAAAAGCAGAACGCAAGCGAGATTTTCAAGCATGTGAAAACGGCCGGTTAGCTATTTTTTTTCACCAAATTTGGTCCCAATCATGAACCAAGAATGATAGAATACAAGATTGCGCCGTCCTGGGCGTTGACATTTGTGTACCACAAGTAAACAAAGAATAGAGCGAAAAGAAGAACGAGTTGAAACTGCCGAAGCAGTTCACTTTACAGCGAAAATCGTGTTTTAATTTTGCTAAAGCAGTGTTTGCATTATTCAACTTTGCGTTCAACAATTGCGTTCAACTCAACGCAGGGTTGCACGAAAAAAAAGTTGAATGGCTAAATGTTGGCTGGCGACCAACTTTGTTGAAAGCGATTAGTTGAAAGGCCATTCAACCAAAAGTCGAATGCAAAGTTGAACAATGCAAACACCTTTTTATGGCGAATATTTTGATATTTTTAGCCATTCAACTTTTTTTTCGTGCAACCCTGCGCTGAGTTGAACGCAAATGTTGAACGCAAAGACACACTTTAAATGTGAAAATATTGCATTTTTCACCTAATCTATTAAGGAACAGTGAACATTTTAGTGCACTCCATTGCTTTGCAATTGAGGCTGCTTCAGCAAACGTTTTAGTGCACTCCATTGCTTTGCAATTAAGGCTGCTGCAGAAAACTGCAGCAGCATCTCTGCGAGATTGATTAGTTAACTTGCTAATGGAGGCTGCGTGGAGCAGAAACAAAATCCTTGTGAGGAAATTCTGTTAGTATAATAATAGAGAAACATTTCGGGAACGGCTTTGCCGTGCCCTATGTACACAAAATGCAGCGATTCGTCCCAGCGCTACACTTGCATCTACGCTTCTTGCATCTTGACGGCTGTCGCAATTTAACACACAGCACTTCACTGAATTAGTTTTTAGGCAGTCTTCAACTCAAAAATCACTCACAAATTGCAAACTAACACAATTTAAACTGATTTTTCACTTATAATTCAAGTTACCACAACTGTCAAAATCGGCAAAACCAAAGTAGCGGTACCACTGACGGCGCCACCTTTGTTCGCTGCACCGTGATCATGAACCAATTAGAACAGATCTGACCGGTTGAGAAGCAGCCATTTGTAATACACTGCCGGAGCAAAGTATTGGTACAGCAAATTTTCCACAATATATGCAACAATTTTTATTCTAATATTTTTCCGCCAATTTTGTATAAAAATATGGTTCATTCAACCACAAAAAAACATAAAAATATAATTCCAAAACTTTGTGCAAAACTCGCGAAAATTCAGCAAAATTTCATCAAAATTTTCCACTTTTTAATCAGATTTTTTAGAACTTTTCTGAGTATGCAGTTTTGCAGCAGAACGAAATATTTTTATACGAAATTAGCGGAAAAATATTAGAACGAAAATTGTTGCATATATTGTAAAAAATTTGCTGTGCCAATACTTTGTTCCGGCAGTGTAGCAATTGAGAAAAAAAGTGTGTGACGTTCGTAATTTTGAAGCTTGCTATCTCTGTTTTGCTTCTTTCTTTATGTGTATTTTGTCGGTGGTTTATTTCAGTGATTTTTAAGCGATTTTCAATAACTTTNACTGCCGGAGCAAAGTATTGGTACAGCAAATTTTCCACAATATATGCAACAATTTTTATTCTAATATTTTTCCGCCAATTTTGTATAAAAATATGGTTC